AGGAGCTGATCTGGAAACTCCGAGGCAGGGGAGGTGGGAGGTGGACATGGGGCCAAAGAGCCCTAGAGAAGCGAGGTGGGCTTCGACTTGTGTGCCATTTTTTCCCCACTTGACCCACGGTGCCCATCTCCAAGTCACGCATGAAGACAGCTGCCTGGGGAACAGGTGGGTGCCTGGCGCAGGCCCCTAAAAATAGCGGAGGCGGCGCTGCACTCCAAGGCAGTTACAGGATCAGCGAGTTAGTTAGAATATGTGACAGCAGTGACGAGAAAGCTGGCACACTCCCATCCGAGCCACCGGCTCATGGTGAGCTCAGTGGCGGTGGCGGCAGTGGTGGAGCTGAGTGAGTCACAGCAGGGGGAGCAGCTTCGTGTCAGAGACTCTGCAAAACCCACTTCTCACTCTCTCATCAGATGATATTTGGGGGGGAAACCATGCAGGGGTTCCGTTTTCATGTCCAATGTCACAGCCGGTTCGCTTCATGCCTTTGATTGTCTTCTAATTTTTGTTCTAGTGCAGCCCACCTGGTGTTTTGTTTTGCATCTGGTCCTTGTAGGTGTATCCCGATTGTCGTTACATTTCAGATGAACTAAGTAAGGCCAGGCAGTGGCCTTGAAGTGTGCCAATGGCAGAAGAAAGGCTCGGGTGCATGAGGCTGTGGTCAGGGCGTAGAGCTAGTGGGTAGGGAGGGAGGAAACGGTGGGGTGCTGGCCTTTGTGTGGACATCCGGGTCCTAAGCCAGCTTCTGCTGAGAGGAGGTGCAGACGTCGCCTCCTCCTGGGTCCGGTGCTCAAGCCTCGGGAGCAGGTCGGCAGTGCTTTCCTATGTGGTCCTGCGTGTCCAGCTGCCCGCTGCTGACTTCCCGTCGGGTGTCCACTGTCTTTTCACACCCAACATGCACGAAACCTGGTTCCATTTCCCCACCCCACCCCCATTCTCCCTCCCTACCCTGTGCACAGACTCCATCTGTCAGTACTGGGCCGGAATGCAGGACAAGATGGGGCTGGATTCTAGTTGCAGTCTCTCACTGCACTGGGTGTCTTGGGGCTGACTCCGGACCTTGGGGACACACTGGTGCAGCACAGTCTATGTGACCACGTGCCAGTTAGTCCCAGTCACCACGCAGCGCAGTATCGAACGTGCACACTATGGTCAAGACCTCAGCTTTCACTGATCACGAGAGCGAACTGTTCACAGATGCCCAGCTTTTACTTTCTGTTACTGGTCCCTTCTATCTGAGTCACTGTCAAGCATCTGTCCCAGATGCTTTCCATTTGTCCCTCCAGATCCACCCACCATTTGCCCTTCTCCATCCTATGTGTAGACCAGGGGGGTCGAAATAACTGAGCCACATCACTGTCCTGTGCCCTCTGCCTTGGCTGAATGTGGCCCTTGGGAACCAGAGAGAGGTCGGATTGTGGGCTGTGACTTGGGTCACTTGGCTTCCCACCTGCGAGTCTCCCTGATTAGCTGTACCCCTCAACCAAAGGCCCGTGCATTTTTCAAATCACCCTTCTTGACTGGGCTCTCTTGTCCTGGGTTCCAGTACCTCCTCCCTCCCCTGTCCTTGGGCCTAAGGGTGGAAACGGTTCATCTGCTATTTCTGACCCTGGGTTAGTACGTGTCCACGGTGGTGGCCTTCTATTCGATGTCCGCCCGTGTGAAGAGTCTAATGTGTCATGCCCCCAGTTTCCTGGTGGGATCTGACTGATGAAGCACTGGAGACCAGGGACCAGAGTGAGGACCGGACAGGGGGACAGAGGACACCATTTCCAAGGTCCACAGGTCTATCTGCTGATGGCTTGTTGGTAGAGGACAGAGTGGCTGAGCTGCCCCACCCATTAGCACCCTTTGGCCTGGCTAGAGGGGCCCACTCCCCATGGAGCACAGAGTCTGTGGGGCCAAGAAGGCCTGTCAGCACGGAGTGACATCCCCACTTCCCGACCACACTGTCATTCCACGATCCTGGCCTCCCAGCCCAAATGGCCACCTGCAGAGCAGGTGCTGGGCTCTTGCCCAGGTGTGAGGCCCAGGCCCAGAGAAGAGCCGCCAAGGGCAGCCGCTCATGGGGGAGGGGTGGCCAGAGCTTGGATGTGCGGATGGGTGTCCACTCGCAGCACCCAGGGCGCTCACGTTGTGGGACGCAGCCAAGGATGAGGAAAGCGGGGTCGGGGGTCAGGTGGGCTGGGCTGTGACCTCCCCTCCACCGAGTTTGAGCACGGACTTGCAGGGGTCAGAAAATCCTAAACGCGAACCAGCAGCTTCCGGGGCTACTGTGGGTTTGCTCAACGAAGCGGGGCGGGGGCGGGGTAAGACGCGGGCATTCACGGGTTGTTAGCTTGATTTGTAACTTTCTATAAGCAGACACATGGATGGAGGCCTCTGTTGGAACTTGTGCCCTAGGTCTTCAGGGCCACGCTGTCCCCTATTGCTCCTCGTCAAGGGCGGGCAGCCCATTTTCTTTCTAAAGATTTCTAGGAACAGAGAGTCATCCAGTTCCTCGGTCGTCCCTGCTGTGAACGCAGCCTTCTTAGGGCATTCTCTCCCTAAATTCACTTCCCTTAACCAACAAGATATGGACAGTTGGTAAGTCACATGTGACTGGCTGTGGCCTTGAGGATCCCGAGGTGGCGACTGTCAGCTCTCCGGCCCTTCTGTCCACTTAGGTCCAGCAAGCCTTTCATCCCACCCAGGACGTCAGCACCATGGACAGGACTCACCGCCGGGTCCTGGGGAGAAGTGTTCAGGATTCTGGGGCGAAGCGGAGAGCAAGCCAATTTCTGTCCCTAGGGAGAAGAGAGCTAGTGTGTATGTCTCCACTGGGTGTCGCTGTCACACAAGGCCCTGGCAGGCTGCAAGGTGCTAACGCAAAGAGGGCTCCTCCCCCTCCCCTACCTGGGGAACAGAGAAGGAGTGATGCGTGTCAGTCCAGGGAACGCTGGCTGGGAGCCGCAGCAGGGGTATCGGCCCTCCTGTGCTACTTGCCACGCAGCGACCTCGCTCGACTTGAGTGGTGAGGGGAGGGTGGCGGGAACTCTCCGATGGAACTCCCTGCTTGCAGCTGCTTCTTGCAGGCAGGCCTCGCCCCGCTGTGGTGTCTCCCTGCCATCCCAAAACATCTGAGCTGGGAGAGGGGCTAGAGCTCCTCCGAGGGCTGCCGGGGTGGGGGGGTTCGTTCCCTCCCTCCCCCAGGCCCGCCTTCCCATAGAGCTGCTGTGTGCTCCACGTGCCCAGCCTTTGGGGCTTTGAAGTTCACAGGCAGGGGGCGCTTACCAAGAGCAGCCCCTCAGCACCCTCCCTGGAAGGAAACCCACTGTGGAGGAGGGGGGTCAGCAGGATGGTGGCAGTGCTGATGAGGACGCACTGCTCGTGGAAGCCACCCTCGGGGAGCTCAGGACTTCCTGGGACCTAGATGACATGCGAGAGCTGAAGAGCAAAGTCCCTGGCGTGGCTTCCATGCTTTGGGGGGGCTCACCCTCTGGGACTCCAGACTGCAGTCCTGGCCCCCAGGGACAGGGCCCCCCGGAGCCCAACGGGTGTCGCTGTCTCGATCACGGGGGAGCTGAGAGGGCAGGGCAGCAGCCTGGGCACTGGGGCTCGTCTTTTTTTTTTTTTTTTTAATTGATGAGAGAGATTTGTTGTTCCACTTATTTCCGCATTCATTGGTTGATTCTCATGCGTGCCCTGACCTGGGGTCAAACCTGCAACCTTGGCACATCCGGATGACGACTCCAAGCAACTGAGCTACTCACCAGGGCAGCACTGGTCCTTTGGAGCGACTCGGGGGACTGCGGGAATTAGGAGAGCGAACGCCAAAAAGAACAATCCCCTGGTACTGCAGAAAACACGTTTCCGGACAGGGACCTTCCCAATGGTAGCGAGGGCACTCCAGGCGGGGTCCCATGGTCCCCAAGTCCGAATACAGGTCTGTTTCACCTTCCTCCGCCAGGCCCCGCCCCCTCCATGCCGGGGAAACAATCATGGAAGAAAGCGTGTCGTCAAATGTACAATCGACCAACGTGCGATCCAGCGGGACCAAGGCGCCCAGACCCATCCGGTGAATGGCGCCGGGCCCTGAGTTCGGACTCCACGCCCTCCCTGCCGGTCCTTCCCTCCCAGAGGAAACGCAGCCCGCCCCGCAGGACGCTTCTCCGTGTTCCTTCCAGAGATCATTTTCTCGGATGTGGGGTCATCTCTTCTCTGGTGGGCTAGGTGCTCAATCTGCGTTCCCAGAATGGTCACGGGCCTGGGGCACGTGTTTCACACTGATGATCAGAGGCTTCGTGACCGTTCTGCGCGCCGGAGAGTCATCATCTGTTCATGCTCTGCTGCACCGAAACCACCGACTTGGGGTTCAGGAGACGATGGGGCTTCGCTGGGGGAGGGTCACCTAGTGAAGGATGGCGGTTGCCACTGCTGAGACACGAGGGAAGAAGAGACCTGAGCTGCGTCTCCGCCAGGGGGCTGTTACCGCCGGGGGCTGTTCCAGCCGGGGTCCTGGTTTGCGGCCAGGCTTCTCCTCGCCACGCGATCGTTCAATGCCACGGCTGTGACTTTCCGGCTCCCAAGGCGTCTGAGCCTCCTCCTGCACTGTCGAGTGTGTGATTGGAGTCTGAAATTGAACATGGTTGCCCCCAACTCCTACAGCTGAACCTTTCATCATGATGCCTTTGATTTCTACCTGTCCTTTTAATTTCTAAATGCTCCACCATTTCAAGTGCATCATTCTCTCCCCACCCCACCCCTCCAAACACACACCCAGAGCACCCTCCAAAGACCATGCCCTAGCCAATGAAATCACTTTACCAGCCTGTCTTAGAGGAAGTGTGCTGACCTGGTAGCCCAGGCCTCTCAGCCCCCTTCTCAGGAGTTCTGACCCCACCCAAAACTCTCTTCAGTGTGTTCAGAAAACTCTCATTTGCATCCCCTGCAGCGGCCGCAGAAGTTTCAGGTGGTGTCTCCAGGACATCAGCGCGGTGAAAGTCCAGAGCCTAGCACTTCCCTGAACCTGGGAAACAAAACAAAACACAGCTGAACTAAGATAGGGGGAGGGCAAGTGCTGGGCGAGTGTGAGTTTCCTGCACAGAAACTCTCTGACTTCAGAGGGGAGGGTTCTGGCAACCTTACTTCTCAGCCGCCTGGGCTGATTTCTCCCTCCCTCTGCTCCCTCTTCCATCTGCGGGTCCAGACCTGTGTACGCAAGCCCAAGCCCCAGACTGAGCCTGACCGTGCTGCTGCTGCTGCTGCTTTGACGCCGGCAGCTGGATCCTGCCTCCCCCGCCCTAAGGAGACATCAGTAAGGACTGACCTTTGCCACTGCCTAGCTGGGTCCACAGACCAGAAGCCAAGTGACCAAGAGGCAGGTAGGTGACTCAGGGCGCAGGGGCCCTGCCAAGCGCTCAGCTGCTAGCCTCCACTTTCCCCTGACATCTCCCCAGGGCCGCCTCTCCCCTCTGCCTCAGCTCCTGTGTCCGCTCACTCTTTCTGGGAAGCTACAGAGCTTATTTGGAAAGAATGACGGGGGGGGGGGGTTTATTCTACACTCTCACTTTTCTCTCCCACAAGTCTCCCCTTGCCCTTTTTTTCCCCATGGACCCTTCTGATGGAAGCAGGGACAACTGAAGTCCTTACAAAGGGGACGGTGACGATGGGGGAACCCCGGGGTAGCTGTTCTGGTGAGCAGTGTGCTCGTGAGAAACTCAAAACCTCTCCATCTACCAGTGGAGTAACTGTATTTTCTTATTTTCTGTACCCTTTTTTTCATTCTGTACTCTTTTTTTTACTGTTATTCTAAAAAGTGTTTTTCGGTGAAAGTGTACTTTGGTTATTTTGCATTAGTTACATGTGCACAGCCTGGTGACCCGTCATGGAAGGTGGGTTCTGAGGTCCACCTCTTTCTGGACAAAAGAGCTGGCCCAAGAGTTCAGAGTCACAAGTTCATGACTAAGACGTGCTGAATATACTTGGGTAATCTTGATTAACTCCAACTGCTATTCGTGGAATGCCTCCTGTACCTGACACCCAGGGAGGTGGGGTGTTGCTGAGCCTTGGGGCTCAAAGCCAGGCTTCTTGTTTTTTAAAGACTTTACTTATTTATTTTTAGAGAGAGGGGGAGGGAGGGACAAAGAGAGGAAGAGAAACATCCATGTGTGAGAGAAACATCAATAGGTTGCCTCTTGCACATGCCCCCACCAGGGTCCGAACCCACCACGCGGGCTTGTGCCCTGACTGGGAGTTGAACCGGTGACCTTTGGCTCTGTGGGATGACGCCCAACCCAGGGAGCCACACCAGTCAGGGCAGGACACATTTTAAAGAGGAGAATGGCCACGCTAAATGTATGTTTTAAGAGTTGATCCAGACGGCCGTGTGTAAAACCGTAAGGAAGCTGACATGGACTTGAAAGTGGAGCAGTGAAGGTGGGTTAATATATTTGCTACCATGAGAGGGAATCGGACACACGTGTAACACACTTAGGAGGCGAGGCTGGCAGAAGGCGGGAAGGACTGCGTGCGGCGGGCCATGCTCTGGCTCCGCCTCCGGTGGGCGTTGGCGTCATTCGCTGAGAGGGGGAGCGTGGACCGAGCAGGTCCTCTTCTCTGGACGTTAGTTCCTTCTCGAGGTCCTTCCAGCTCCCAAAACCTAGAATTCTACTTCCCAGCACAAAAATTTCTCTGCAAGAAGGTGGAGGCAGAGAAGGGGGGAGGGGCATTTACATGCATGGGCCCTGAAGTCAGCCTTCGGACCTCCGGTCCAGCCGGCGTTCAGCAGAGGATGGGGGACGAGTGGGTCAAGGTCAGAGCTGGGCAGGGACCACCCACGACGGCTACCTCCACCTCCCGCGCTGCTCAGGAGAAGCATCCTCAGTGTGTCACACGTCCCCAGAGCGCCTCGGCCCTGGTAAAAGTGCCCGAAGGGAAGACGGGAACTGCTTGCTCAAAGCACAGGGCCCGGCACAAGTAATGTCCCCTTTTTATTACAAAATCTTTGATTATAAAATCATAAGTGTGCAATTCTGTAAGATAACAATATCACGCTCCAGCCCTATGACAGTTTAGGCGATATGTTCAAATTAAAACTATAAGTGATTACACCCATGTTATTACCCTACTGACCACACTCGAGCAGGTGTTTCTTAAGCTGGACCCTGTATTTAGGTCAAATTCCTATCGACAGGACTCTAGCAAAGGAATCGCCAAAGGCCAAAACCACTATTCTCTTTTTATAAAGCCCATCACAAGGGAATTCTGCAATCGCCAGATTGTCTTAGTCTGTTCGGGCTGCTCCATTAAACAATACCACTGACTAGGTGGCTTGAACAACAAACATTTTTTCTGCACAGTTCTGGAGACGGACAAGTCCAAGATCAGGGCCCTGGAAGACTGCATCTGGTGAGGACCTGCTTCCTGGCTCACCATTGGCCGGCTTCTTGCTGTGTCTTCATATGGCAGATGGAGCAAGGGAGCTGCTGGGATCAACTTGATAAGGGCATTCATTCCATTCCTGAGGGATCACCGTTAGGACTCCCAAAGGCCCCACCTCCAAACGTCATCAGTTCAGCCTTTAGGATTTCACATATGAATTTGGGGGAATGCAAGCATTTGGTCTGTAGCACAGATCTTAGGTCTCTGGCCCTGGGCTTGCACACCTTCAGCTGGTTCGCAAAGAGGAGCCAGTGCCCATCCTGGAGTGAGGAGGACTTTCGGGAGCCTGGAGGATCTGTCCTCCCAAAGCCCCACCCTCCACTCCAAGACTCAGTGAGCGGCATGGGGACCCAGAGTGCTGTAAGGAAGAGCCAGCATCAGAAGACCTAAAGCCAGCTGCAGGCCCTGTTCCTGCTGAGAAGGGGCAGCTCAAGCCTTCTGTGAAGTTATGGCAACCTGTTTTCCTAATCCTGGTTGTAGAACAGAGGTGGTTTCCAGCCCTGCGCTGGTTTCAGATCTTGGCCCCGCCCTTCTCAGCAACCCTCAGGTCAGGTTCTCCCACCCGGGTGCCCGGCCCTGGCTCCTGGGGCCCCACCCAGATATGCTTTCGTGGGTCCTGCTTGTCTCACAGGAGGGCTTGGATGCTGAGGCACAGCCACAAACTGGAGGGTTAGCAGAAGTCGTTAGTCACACAAGAGCAGAGAAAGGAGATTATAAAAGGTGAATGGCCTGTCAGGAGGACTGTTCCTGTTAGGCCACCCTGGAAACCCGCTTGAGCCCCCAGGAGTGAACCCGGACAAGAGCTCAGATAATATGGGTCTCTGGAAGGGAAGAGCGGAGGCTGGTGGGTGTGCTGCAGCTGAAGAGGAGAAAATTAGGTTAAAAAAAAGAAAAGAAAAGAGTTATACTCTGTTTAAATTTTTTTTATTGATTACGCCATTACATTTGTTCTACTCCCCCCTCCATTCCCCTCCACCCTGCACACCCCTCCCCCACCATTCCCCCCCTTTAGTTCATGAACACGTGTCTCAAGTTCTTTAGATTCTGTATTTCCCCTACTATTCTTACCCTTCCCCCTATTTTCTATCTACTGTCTATGCTACTTATTTTCTGTACCTTCTTCCCCCTTCTCCTTCTCCCACTCCCCTGTTGCTAATCCTCCACGTGATCTTCATTTCTATGGTTAACTCCTCATCTAGCTGTCCTCTTTATTTGCTTTTGTTTTGGGTGTGGTTCTTAATAACTGTGAGTTTGCTGTCCTTTCACTGTTCATCTTTTTTATCTTCTTTTTCTTAGGTAACTCCCTTTAACATTTCATATAATAAGGGCTTGGTGATGATGAACTCCTTGAATTTGATCTTATCTGAGAAGCACTTTATCTGTCCTTCCATTCTAAATGAAAATTTTGCTGGATAGAGCAATCTTGGTTGTAGGTCTTTGGTTTTCATGACTTGGAATACCTCTTTCCAGCCCCTTCTTGCCTGTAAGGTCTCTTTTGAGCAATCCGCTAACAGTCTGATGGGAACTCCTTTGTAGGTGACTGTCCCCTTATTTCTTGCTGCTTCTAGGATTCTCTCCTTCATTTTAATCTTGGCTAACGTAATGATGATGTGCCTTGGTGTGTTCCTTCTTGGGTCCAACTTCTTTGGGACTCTCTGAGCTTCCTTGATTTCTTGGAAGTCTATTTCCTTTGCCAGAACGGGGAAATTCTCTTTTATTATTTGTTCAAATAAATTTTCCATTTGTTGCTCTTCCTCTTCCCCTTCTGGTACCCCTATAATTTGAATGTTGGAACATTTAAAGATGTCCTGGAGGTTCCTAAGCCTCTTCTCATTTTTTTGAATTCTTGTTTCTTCATTCTTTTCTGTTTGGTCATTTTTTCTTTCCTTCTGGTCTACTCCCTTGATCTGAGTCCCAGTCTCCTTTCCATTACTATTGGTTTCCTGTGCAATTTCATTCATTTCAATTAGTTTAGCCTTCATATGTTCCTCTAATTTGTGACTAAAATCAACCAGTTCTGTGAGGATCCTGATCACCAGTGTTTTGAACTGTGCATCTGAAAGTTTGGTTATTTCTTGGTTGCTTAGATTTATGGGCTCTGGGGCTCTGAGTTGTTCTTGAGCCATGTTTTTATCTGTTTGTGCCTGTTACATATGAGGAGCGGAGCCTTAGTTGATCACCAGGGTAGGGCTACCCAGGTCGCTGGTTTGTGACACTGTATGTGGGGGCGGGGTCAGAGATGGAGCAATGGCGGTCCTCTCTGCTCGCCCAGTTCGTCCCACCACTCACCCCCGCCTGTTTATCTGAGCGGAAATGTGCGAGCCTGCTGCCCTGAGCTCTGCCGTCTCAGTGCTCGCCTCTTCACTGGTTTATCTGCACCCAAATGCTTGACTGACTGCAGACAGCCAGCCGCACCTCTTCTCTGTGTCCGTAGGGAGTCCGCACCTGGGATCCGCGCCTTCAGCTGCTTGCACACCACCAGGGTCAGGGATCTTTTTGGCCAACCCACTCCGCTGCTGGCTTCACCCCTCTTACCGGTTTAGCTGAGCATTTCGTTGTTTTCGGACTCCGTATTGTCAATTTTCTGTGTGGTTTGGTTGCGTTTATTGTTGTTAAAACTTTGTTGTTTTTATATTTGGTTGTGCGTGGAGGCAAGGTGTTTCCACTTACGCCTCCATCTTGGTGGAAGTCCTAAATTTATTTACTTAAAGTCACACCTACATTGTGCAATTAAAAATGAAGAATTCCACTCTGAAGACTTTTAAATTGGGGGTTGCTTTTGGAACCTGAGGTTTTGGACTGGTGCTCTAGAACAGCGGTGAGCGGACCTCTTCTGGAAAGAGCCAGGCAATGAAGCATTTTAGGCTCTGTGGTCCTGTCACGACTATTCAACCACTGTGACACACAGCTGCCACAGGCACCATGTAGATGAGTGTCGGTC